CCTTTCCCTTATCTGCCCCTCCCCTCCCCCAGCCTCAGCCCTGCGCCGGCCCAGCCCTTATCTCCCCCTCCCCCTCGCCTGCCCTCCCCTTGGGCTCCGACCTCGGCCCCCTCCCCAGACTCCCACCCGTCCCCCCCTTGGCCGCCCCGCCCCCGGTCCTCCCTCTCGCCCAGTCTGGCTTCGGAGCGCCGGGCCCGGGGCTCCACGCTGAGAACTGGGCGGCTCGAGCCGGCGCCGAGGCGCGAGGCTGCTCCTTTACTAGATCATTAAAATACTTTGGAAAACCCCAAAGTGGAGTCGCGCGAAAATGGCCCTTGGACTGCTTTGGGGAGCCTGGGGGAAGGGACTGAGGACTTTGGCTAAGAGAACGGAGACTGATTGCTCCCAAATTTCCAAGGTCTGCCCGCCCTAGCAAGTTAGCCCCTCGGCTTCTCCACGAGAGATGGTGCCATTCCGGGGTAGGGGGGCGTCACCTGGGCGCCCCGCTACGCGGAATGCGCGCCACAGAGATCTGCGAACTTCAAATAAATGGAGCTAAATTGGGGAGCGGGGGACGAGAGTCAGGCGTGGGGGGAGGGGAAGCTTCCATTGTCAGTGACCCAGGTGTACAATGGGAAATTGAGGGGGGGTGGCTGGCAGAGTGACCCAGCTATTTGCTGCTGACTCCTTTTTGCCCACGGCGAGAACCCGAGGACACACTGAGTGTACCTCATTAGAGACTCTTTAAGACGGGAAACCAACCAAACGGGAAGACTCCCCCATTTTCAGACTGTTTTTAGAGCGCGGTTCTCTTTAAATGTGATAAAACACTGTCGGCACTGTCTCTTTAAAAGAGTCAAGCAGAAAAAGCTGTGTAAGCGCTGATTGGCTGCCTGTTTGGATACATCTTTAGGGGAGCCTTGAAACTGTTAGCCTAGGTTGATTTTTTTTTTTTTTTTTTAACAGCGCTGTTCCAATAAACAAGTAACGCCCCTCCCCCTAACATGCCTCGCACCAAACAATTAAAGGATAGGTCAGTGTCCTGGGGAAACACGTTTCAAGTAGGAAAACTCAGAACTAGATTCAACAAAATCAAGTATAATTCACTACCATTAAAGTTTGCTTATTTTGATTTGTCGAAGAGAGAAAAAGGGGCTTTAAAAAGAAATGCCCCGCAGCAAACGGATCTGCATTGGTTCAGGAAGGAGACTCTGGGTGCATTTTTGGAATAATGTTCTGCTCAGTGTAGCAGCCTCCCTAAATTAGAATACAGCCAGGCCCTACCACCGCTTCTGGACGCGCTGTGTTCTCTGTTGGGACCTAGCGCTGGAAGGGGAAGGGGGCAGAAAGAGGAAAACTGAACCCTAGTCTCTGATTGTCTGTGCTAGCTCCCAGTTTAAAGGTTGTTTTGTGAATGAGAGAAGCATGGAGGTTGGGAGGGAGTTGAAATACAACGATAGGGGAGAGAAGGAAATAATTACAGTTATTTTTTTCCCCCAGGCGGTTTAATTTAATAGGGCTAGCTTAAGGTACCTTAGAGCCCACACTAATTAAATTGGCCTGCTCATACCCTTCCCCTGGACTTCTATTTTTGATGGGCTAGGAATGGCCAGGAATGGCTTGTCAACAGCCTGACTCACAAGAAGCCTGACTCATCTTGGGTCTGCAAGGCCCACAAATTATGAGTGTCATGAGTGTGGGTTAGGTCCCAGCTCAAGGAAAACACTGCCCTTCTCTGGCCCTACTGCATCACAGATCTACCAAGTTGGCCATGCTGTGTCAGAGTTAGGGCTGCAACACAGGTATATCTGTTTGTGCATCATTTTCCTCATCTGTCAAATGGAAAGGGAGATCTTTAATATCTCTTGAGAGTCTGATGTTCTATGATGCTAAGATTTCCTTTCTATAGTTTTCTTTCCCCACACCCCACCCTGAAAAAAGGACGAGCACCTCCTTTCCGAGCAGGTGTGGCATGCATTTGGGGAACCTGTGCCAGGCTCTTTGTCCTTGTGGTCTTCCCTTTGCTGGGGCTTGACCCAGAATGTTGGTAGGTTCATGGTGGACCTAAAAGAGAGAGTGGGAGGGCCCAGGCAGAGCGAGAAGGGAGGGTGCCATAACCTCCCAGCCTGCTGGAGAGAGGGGAGCTGATGGGTTCCCAGGAAGTAGGACGACTGAGCAGTCCCAACTAGGTGTGCAGTTGCTAGCACAGTGATCCAAAATGCGGTCAGATCAGAAGCAAACACCCTACCCCAGAATGGCACTTTCTCTGGAGAAGCCAAGGGACTAACATGATAGGCAGGCAGACCTGAGAAATTTGGATGCAATCACTCTCTCTTCACTTACCCCAAGTCCCCCATCCATTCCCCCAGGCTATCTTTCCCCACTGGATCCCCCAATCCCCACCTTCCCCACCCCACCCCCACATCTTCTGGCCCGGAGTGCCTCCCACCCCAGCCCCCTTCTTTGCTCATTCTTTAAGGCTTGCATCCCCTCCAATGCCTCCTCCATAAAAACCTCCCGGCTTTTCACTCCTGGAGTAAAACCCATCCCTCTAACCCTCTGCTTGGTCTCATTTTGCTTGAACCTCCAGAATAGCTCTCCATTCATTCTGCCCATTGTTGTGGCCATTTGTTTACTGTCTGTCTCCCCAGCCAGAGGTGGTTGGGGGGCTGGGAAGGCAGGAACTAACTCTGAGTCATCTGTGTGTCTCCAGCACCCAGCACAGGTTCAGTACCTGTGTGCAGTTAGCACTCCATGCACACACCAGGGGCTACGGGGAACAAGAAAGGAAAAAGTGAGCTCATCCCCAAAGTAGCTCTGGGACGGGTAAGGAAATAAGAAATGCACACCAACAACAATAAGATTAGATAAGGCCACACCCCAGCTCAGCCCCACAGCCTAAACTATAGCAGCTTGCAACTACTGTACTTTCAGTTCCCAGAATACACCAAGCTATTTTACACATCCACCCTATACTCATTCTTTCTTCCTCTCCCTCTCTCTCTCTATTCCTCCCTCCCTCCCTTCTTCCCTCTTTCCTTTCCTTCCTTTTTTTTCTTTTAGGACATGTTTATTGAGCATCTACTATGTACCAAGCACTGTTCTAGGCACTGGGTAATAATCTAGGCAGAAATCCTTACGCCATGTTGCTTACACTGGTGTGAAATCCTCTGCCCTAAAGGCTCTTCCTGTGACAGACTTCTAATATTCTAAAATCCAGCTTGGGAAAGCCTTCCCAGGAAGCCATCTCTGGGCTCCTGGTCTGGGCTAGGAATCCCCTGGTGGCCCCTCTGCCTCTCCCTGACCATGACCTACTGCTGTTGGCCTCTGTGCATGGGTGTGGTCCTGTGTGCATTTCCCCCAAGGGAATGTGAGCGCCTCTCCTCCGGGTCAGGGAATGATCATCATTCACCTGTGGACCTCCAGTGCACAGCAACAGTGGTGAAAGGAACAGAACAAGTGAGTACCTGAGTGACCAGAATGTGGAGGGACAGGCAGGTGGAGTGGAAGAGGGGAAGGAGAGGTGAATTACAAGCTTAGGCTAAGATGACCACTCCACTCAGGTGCCAGAAACTGGGGGGCAGAAATCCTGGCCTCTGGGATCAGGTTGGTGGGGGCCAGGCCTCCAGAAGGTGGCACTTAAAGGAATGAGGCTTCAGGTCCATGGGCTCAACCCAGGAGGTTGTGCTTGCCAAGAATGACAGAGGATCCCTTTTCCTCTCCCTGGTTTGCAGCTCTGTTTCTGTGTTCCCCACAGCTGCTGGGAGTCTGGTGGCTGCCCCACTGTCCTCCACACCATGCCCAGGGACGTTCGAATGGATGCTGAGCATGCAGCCCATCCCCTTCCTGCCCGCTGGGTCCTGGGATTTTGAGGAGGCACCTCGGGTCAATACCTTGGGTAACTCTGCCCAGGGAGCTCAGGCCCAGGCTGGTCAGCCCCAGTTTTAGCAGAAGTTTCCTCAAGGGTGTTGGGCGCTTCCATGGGAGGAGTGCAAAATCCAGGGCCTGGAGACTTGGCTTCAGCCTGGCTCAGGGCCTCGCTGGTGGACCTTGGGCAGATGATATTCTCTCTCTGAGTCTGTCTGTGAAATGAGGATATTAAATAAGGGAACTGATGGGGAATCCTTTGCTGGGCTGTCCGTAAGTGTTGGCCGAGCCCACGGTTCTGACACCTCTGGACAATGTAGAGTCACTACTGTGAAGGTTGTGTGGAGGCTCTGAGGAGGTAGTAATTGGGGTAACATTTTGTAACTCGAAAAAGATGATTACTCCTGATGTTATAGCATAGCAGAGCCAGCAAACAGAGAGGTTCTCAGGAAGAAGGAAGAGGATTTAAGTTTAGAATCAAATGTGTTTTTACATCTTCTGATGATGCCTTCTGATGTCCTGAGCCACCTTGTAGCAAAAT